CTAATCTTTGCAATACTCACAGCGCAGCGGACATGAAGAACGGCTAGCGTATATGTCTGTAGCATTAGCACATGGCTGAGGTTTTGCTGTTGGAAATGCATCACACTAATGCTAATCCCATCAAACCCAACCTTTGTGATGTCACTGACCTCCTCTTAGCCATGGGTGTGCAAACACACGGGACGTCCCAGGGATGCCCTGTCTCAGGGGTAAGCCTGGGAAGATCTACAGACGTCACAAGCAATGCTGCCATGTCTTTTTATAGCACTGAAGAGTGCATCGTGGCTGCTCGACCTGTCTTATCCTCAGGGTCTGTCACCTGATTATGTAATATGAAATGTTTTGGATGAATATTACAAATAAAAATATTTGATGCACAGTTAAATGCCAAATGTTATTTGCTTTAAAAATACATTTAATTCCCAAAGCCTTGCTAAAATAAGCATTTAGTTGCCAGTGTTGACTGCTGCTGTCCGCAGAAATGCATTGAGATCTAGTGCATGCAGGCGAGTGGAGCGGCCTGGATGGATGCTGGCTGCTAAGATCTGCTGATTCACCTCACGTCTGCACTGTGAGCAATATTAAATAATGGCCTCTGCCTCTTCAATCTGACCCGGGGATGCTGCTGCTGTTCGGTGCGGATCGCTGGGAAAGAGGAGGCAATGCAGTGATCTGTCACCTTGCTTCAAATTTCACAGTTAACCTACAACAACGCAACTTTCCCAGTGAATGTAATGTTCTTGAATATTTGTGTGTCATTCAGGCACACCTGAACCTTGTTTTGCTGATAAAGCAAACTTAATATTACAACAATGCAATTGTTGCAACAATGCAAACAATGCAAACACTGCAATGATCTGTCAAGTAAACGTGCATGAGGTCATTTGTTTCGGAGAATAAAACATTCAAGACTTAGCATGGTCTAGTGGTCAGCACACATGCAGAGAAAGATTTTTAAAAAATTGACAAAAAGATAAAAATATTTTTTTTTTTAAATGAGTCAAAAATTTAATCTTGATTTCTCAGCTTTCAATTATTTATGAACAAAGCCCTCTATAAAATATAAATAGGAGTAAAAACAAAGTTTGGTGTATGTAAGTTCTGCTGAATTTGTCATTAAAAACATGCATTGTACTTAAAATAAAAATTTGTATTTTGGATGTTTTCTTTCCACTAGTCTTAAAGTAGACGTGTTATGCATGTTGTGTCTTGCCCTATCCATTTATGGAAACTCTAAATGCATATGAATTTATTATGATATATAAGATGGAAGAACACCATTAGCATGATTTAAATCCCTGTTTTCTAGCATGCACTGATGTTTAAAGGCACAGAGAGAGAGACAGAAGCGGTCTCTGGTGTGCAGCATCTGTGTGTGCGGGTTATTTGTTATCTAGTGTGGCACACGCTCCAGGGACGGTGCTCAGGGAGCTTAGGCAGACAGCATGCAGTAAATATCGCAATGTGAAACGAAGCGTTATAAAACTACTACAGTAGTGCAGATGCAACTAATGGATGGCATGTCGCTCTATGAGCGATTCCTAAACTGATGAACAGAGAAAATTTACAGTTACACAGTAGGTACAAAATGAGCCAGAAGGCATTCAAATGTTACAGTGGCGCTGCATATTAATAAAACACAGCACAGTTCTGAATCACAAAGCTAATCAGTTTATCGCCCTCTTGAGTACAGCCACTGCAACCGTAACAGAAGAATGCATGCTACACATATGCAACCGGACCACATGATTCAATGCATTGGCCAATATGGATTTGCGTACCGGCATTAGGTATGTTTCTGGAATGAAGTTACTGTGTAAGTGTCATAAAACAGTGAGTCTATTGCCGAGCATCTCTTAAACACAATCTAAGCTCAGTGCTAGTTAATCCTTCATTATTTTGCTACACTGCTTTTTGCAGTAATTGATTTTCCCAATTAGCAATGGCACAAAGGTACATGCGAAGGTGCAACAGTCATTCAAACAAGCTTACATGCATGAAGACAGAGAATAAATGAGCACAATCAAGCGAAACAAAACTGAATAAGGTGATGCACGCTGACAAGCTCTGTTCTTTTTGGTCCATTGATTTAACAATGTAACACCCATACTTCATATGACAGCATGCAACCTCTTCAATATTTTGTGAAAAAGTATTGAGGAGGGAAAAAAAATGCTTTTCATCATGCACGAAACCACATTGTAGGGGAATAGAGTTCAATGCAAACATGAAATGTGTGTATTTGGCTGTGTGTGTGTTTACAAGAGAGACTGGGATTATGTGATTTTGGGACTAATCACACAGTAGTGATAAAATGCTTAAAATTCTTTCATTGTCTGCAGACGTTTGCTGTTCTCTCAAGTATTCAGCCATAGAATTCCATTAAAATGCCTCCATCTACAAAACGCAAAACCAAAATTCATTCCAGACTTGATGCATATGATATTTCATATTATTTTGATATTTTGGAGTCCAGTCTCTTATGGAGAAATAATTTAACTTCTCACAAAGAATAAAATGAAATAAAATAAAATGGTTTCACAAAACAAACAACTGTTTTACACTACAATTCAATGATGATTTATTGAGTTAATACTGAGTAACTTCAACGTTAGTTAGGAAGATAGGAAGACACTATTGTTGAAAAAGTCACGTGTTTAAACACACAACCTCTCCTTTATTGGTGATTCAAAGAAAACTTGTTCAAACTGACTTGTCTGTTTTGCAAATAGAAGCAAATGAACCTTGTCTTTGTTCGGTTTCTGTAATTGGGACGAATGTTTGCATAATCCTGGCGTGTTCTGCTTGTGACGTACATTAATGTTTACTTCTCGTTGCTTAAAACAACATTATTAGCCCATTTCTATAATATAAAAATCAAAGCAAACATACATGTTTGTGAATGTACATGGCTGTTGCTCTTAGCAGCAGGGAAATGAGTTTTGACATGTTTTGACCTGACAAGTGCGTTAACTGCAGCTGATGTATTACTAATCTGCAGAAAATACAGCACTGCACAGAAAATGTTTGGTTTTCACATTGAACATCAATGGCAATACACACTGAAGTGTTCTGCGCTGCCTTAGGGAAGACGACTGAGATGAGAGCTCTGTCTTAAGGCTATAGCACCCAACCTTAAAGGCAGCAGGTTCCTGATCTGAACTCAACCCTGTAGTTTCTGAATCCAGAAGAGTGAAGAAACACCAGCTGAACAGTTTACGATACATCCCATTGATCTCTTGTGAAATAATCAGCACAGTGTAGGTGGAAGTGAAAAAAAATAGGTAAAAGTTTGACTGTTTAAAGGAGCAAATGTACACACCCACACACGCACTAAGAATCAGTTGTATGCTTTCATTTCTCACAGAACAATACTCTTGCTGTAGGGTGGGAAAGAAATCATATGGAGCTTTTGCAACTCTTTTAATTTCATTGTAGCAAAGAAAAATGCAAATTGTGTCTGTTTTCCTTCCAAATATTTAGGAAGCACTGTTGGTACATGAACTAAACCAACACCAAAGGTCTGTTTAATGTCATTTGTCATGTGGTAGTCCATTAAGTGCTTCTTTTATTACGCCTCTGTTTAAGTTGTGACTTAAGGAAACTAAAGTATGACACTCCTACATGAACTAGACACACGGACCTCCACTGGACTGAATCCATGTTCATGTGCCACACTAATGTTCCTGTTAGCTCATTTATCACCATAGTAAAGCAGCATGTCAGAGCGATGCCATTATAGATGCCGCAGAGCCCTAGAGAGAAGCAAAACATGAAACCCAAAGCACGCCGCTGTCCCGTCTGATTCATTGCGGCGCTTTTGTTTTTCGGGCTTTCCACAACAGGGTGATGACACCATAACCTGCTGTTCGTATCTGGGTGTTGACAGCCTCAAAAGCTGGTTGGAGAACCCATGAGGCCTACAGTCATAAAAACTGGTTGTGGTCGCACATATAGATTGGAAAACACCCAATGAGGAGATTGAAAATAAACAGTCACATGACGTTTTCGCAGCAAAGGCCTAACAGTAACCTGTGCGGAGACCTTAAAGGCTAACTACTGTATAACAACTATATCATTCTGTTTATTATAAGCGCGAGCTGCAGTTTTATCTGCCGCTTTAAATGCTCGAGCTCTTTAAAGTTGGATGGATTCTGATTGGCCATCAATGTTTTTGTCGTTCATCAGCTGGAAAAAAAAACGTTATGAAACTGATTGCAATGATATCATTCCTCTGTATCATTATCGTTTGTTTCCCTCTGTATTTTTGTCTTGTTTTCCACTCCAAATGCCCAAAGATTCTTCAAAATACATTTATTTGAGAAGCAAAATGACAAAAGACAAGAAGTCTTGTTTTACTAGAAATTGATCAAAATGAAGGGTTTATGGTTACAATAGGAATAAGTATCTGCCAGTGGGCTCAAAAAAATCTACGTAATTCAAAAACAGATATCTGTTAATGGGGTATTAAAATTTGTTTTCACTTTGAATTAAGTATTAAGTACAATTTTCATCTCAAGTAAATGTATCTTGATTTATGGATGGTTAGATATTTGTATTGGAAAACTGCTGAAAAATACTGAGGAAGATATTTTTTGTAGTGCATTCAACATTTAATGCCATGACTATGAATTTAAGACTTTCTGATCCCGCTTAAGACCTTTAAAGGCCTTAATTTGTGAAAACGCAAATAAAGACTTTTTAAGACTTGCAAAAACCCTGTTATCATTCTTGGTGTGAATGGGCCTTTACAGGCAAGAATACTTTTGATTCCCTATTTTCTTCATGCATGGGTTATCATAAGCACCTTTGCTCTTACTACGCTGACACCCACTGAAATTTACCCTAAGATTAAGACAAATCTACAAACCAATATGTGGGGACCTCGATGTTTTGGTGTGTAAACATGACCTACCAACCCTAGTGTCATGAAACACAACAACACACTAGACCCATTTATTGTGTCCCATTTCCTTCTGCAATCCATTTTCACTACTCACCATATCCAGGAATGCCTTCGGAATGGGAAATTGTTGACGTGCATCATTTTTTTCTCCCTTCCTGTGTAATTTCGGCCGGTCTTCATTTAAACGAAGGTGTGGTTCGTGTTGGCTCCTCTCTCTCACAAATAAATAACTCTTACGCCGGCCTCGGGATAGCCATTATACACCCTACTTACATGCCTCAACTGAAACCAGCTCCAAGCATCTCCGAAACAAGAAGTCCGCTTGGAGCAAGGCAGAGTACATCTTCTTAGCGTGCTATTCCACAAAAGAGTCTAGAGAAGACACTTCACCCATTTATGAATGTAGACAGTGTGCGTAAATCAAATTTTAAGGCAAGAAAATGGCATGTTAAGAAAAACTCAAGGGTTAAGGGGTTGTTCCATAGTAGTAGAGCAAAAATAACAAACACAGAGCAGAATGAGGGTCCTTCCGCTGCCTTTTGTGTGGGATTTGAAACTCACTGTGGTACATCCTCATCGTGAAGTCCCGGCATTAATAACGGTTTCAGGAAAATGCTTCATTTGGATGTCGGAGATGCACGGTGGTGCCCCAACAAAACCCAATGATGCATGCAGTCCCTTTCTGGTGCAGATATCCCAGATGCCATGGAGAGATGAATGACAGGTCCGATTCAATCCTCAGTAAGTCCTGGAAATTTTTCCCAAAAAAAGACTAAGCACACTGCTCCTGTCAAGCACCACATAAGCTACTGATCCTCTTAGTGTGGACAGCTCTGATTAATTCAGTGGTGTCAGCTGAAGGAATGGGTGGAGTAGCCGTAGGAGATGAGATGGAGCGAGGCGAGCTGGAGAAGAGAAAACACACAGAGTGTCACCTCAGGATTGTCCGCGTTCCCGTCTGATCCTGGCCATCATCACATGAAGGCAGAGTTGGCAGGCAGTGACAGCGGTCAAGGTGCTGCAAGAATCCTATTAACGCAGCGAAAGCAGCACGTGCTAACCCTCTTGACAATCACTTGTCTTCCTTACCCGAGGGTTTCTCTTTCTCTCTCTCTCCCTCCGTCTCACTCAGCCGTTCCCGGGTCTTTTCTCTCTCTTCTCTCTCGCTCTGGTGCAGCGCTGGCTCTGGGCTGTACAGAGTGTGTGTGTGTTTGGGAGAGACTGTGTGACTCGCTGTCTGTGTGTGAGCGTCAAGGGGCCCCACAAGGGAAACTTTGACCGGCCGACAACACACAGCGCTCGCTAAATAAAGCACACGCCTGACAGCTGGAAGAGCCTGTTTTTGCAGCGCGGAATTAAAGCTCATGATAATATCTCAAAGGTCAGGAGCAACGACTATGATATGACAACAAAAAAAGAGTTAAGAAGATATACTGTGAGACAATGTAGTTCTACAAGCATGCTCAAACATAGCCTGGGCTGCTTAGGGTATAAGGTACGAGAACAAAACACCATGTTTGCATTAGAAACACCCCATGTGAAAGAAAAATCATAAAGGAGATGTCTTATATATCTCTAGAATTTCCCCTATACACTCTTAAAAATAAAGGTGCTTCAAAAGGTTCTTCAAGCGATGCCATAGAAGAACCATTTTTGGTTCCACAAAGAACCATTCAGTCAAAGGTTCTTTAAAGAACCATCTCTTTCTTACCTTTTTGTAATCTGAAGAACCTTCTTTCACCACAAAACCTTTTGTCAAACAGAAAGGTTCTTCAGATGTTAAAGGTTCTTTATGGAACCATTTAGACAAAAAGGTTCTTCTATGGCATCGTGAAGCACCTTTATTTTTAAGAGTGTAGATTGCAATTTGAGATCAAATAGAGAGAAAAATATCTTCTTTCCGCTAAAAAGGTTTGACGTTTCAATTCTTGACAAGTCTTAAACTGTGCTCAGATTTGTCAGAAAGTCAGAAGTCTCATCAATTTCTACCAAGATCAAATGATATGAGCTGTTATCAACATTTTCATTCAAACTCCATACAATGTGCTTACTGTATGTCAACAGTTGACTCATTTGTGTCTGTTTTTATTGAAGTTGAAGTTGAAGCATAAACTCAATGATTGTGTTGTTAACATTAGCGCACACTCATGATCCTAAAGGCATTTTAGGACAAAGAGAAAATTGTGAACAGACAACTCTGTAGTGCTGCCCTACTAAGTACCTTCAAATCTTCTTCTTGTTCGATTTTCCCCTTCGAGTAGTTGGGAAAAAAGTCCACTGACAGATCATTTCCTGTGACATAATTCAATTTCACCTCTTTGCCTAACACAGCGTAATGCCTGGTCATAAATCAAAACGATCATTTTCACACAACAGGATGGAGAAGTTAGGAATTACAAAATAGTTGCTGAGAGAATGCTTTAAATGCCACGTGTGACTGACATCGTATTTGGTTCATTCAGGTCGTGTTTGAACACACATGCACATCTGAATCAGCCGCAAAGCTGGACACTATCAAGTGCACACGTGAGCAATGTGTAGTTATGATTCTCAGTGCTCTCTTTATATTGTACCTATCAATAAAAGATGCAAAAAAAGCTAAAAATAAACTCAATTCTTTTGAGTCAGTAGCACAAATGGTGTAGCATGCAGCATAACAATGATATAGAGTCTAGATGTAATAGTAATACGATTGTGGCAGCATTCATAACTGAATAGTCAATGCCTTTTAAATGCCATTTCAGTTCCTAAATTTGAATTTAATTTGAACTGAAGTAGGGGTGTGCAATATCACAATTTTTGATCGCCGACGATTAAAATTTCTCCACGATCTGCTTTTGAAGAAATATCATAGTATCGTGCTACAGCGCACATTCTATCAGCTGTAGTTCTGGTGTCTCCGTCTCAATATACTGTATGACACCACATACATTCACATCAAATGTTGACTCAGCGGTGGAGTTCCACTCACAGGACACTGCACTTATTCACAATCACAAAAGTACATTATTTGCATGTACTTTAAAGCCTTGCCGGGTAAACATTTAATCCGCATGCTGTTCTGACATGCGCTTTTTCTGAGCATGTACACCTGAAGCGCGCACACACTAAAGCGCTCGTCAAACAGCGCCTGATTACTGGACTAAGTTATCTTTCATGTCTGATTGTGCTAATACTGTCAAAAACACACAAGAGGTACATCTAAACACAGTTGGTTATATCTAAAGTGACAGTAAACGGATGCATGGCTGTATATTAGATGGGGGCAGGTCTTAAAGCGACAGCAGACTATAGTACTAAACATGCTGCCGATTGTCATTAAAGGGATAGTTCACCCAAAAATGAAAATTCTCTCATTATTTACGCACTCTCATGTCGTCCTAAACCTGTATTAATTTCTTTCTTGCGCTGAACACAAAAGACCAGTAACTGTTTGGTTATCCACATTCTTCAAAATAACTTTTATATTCAACAGAAGAAAGAAACTCATACCGCTTTAAAACATTTTGAGAGTGAGCAAATGATGACAGAATTTTCATTTTTGGGTGAACTGTCCCTTTAATGTTAATACAACAAAACACTAAAAGAAAAATCACTCACTGCTCTTGACTGAAGAACTTAAATACAGTTGCTTTAATAAGAATCAATGTATAATTTATACAGTGAAGTGTATAGTGTTTTATTTTTATATTTGTTCATTCAATTTCTTGAATGTTACTGCTAAATACACCTACTGTACCTGAAAAATAAAGCACTTTTGGTTTTATTTGTATATTATGTGTATTTGTAATGTGTATCTTTGTTCTTATTTTTTAATAACAAAGATAAAATAATCAAGATTTTTATCTTCACCCATTCTTTTTTATTTTATATTTTGTTACCTTGCTTTTGTGAAACAGAAAGGTTCTTCAGATGTTAAAGGTTCTTTATGGAACCATTTAGACAAAAAGGTTCTTCTATGGCATCGTGAAGCACCTTTATTTTTAAGAGTGTAGATTGCAATTTGAGATCAAATAGAGAGAAAAATATCTTCTTTCCGCTAAAAAGGTTTGACGTTTCAATTCTTGACAAGTCTTAAACTGTGCTCAGATTTGTCAGAAAGTCAGAAGTCTCATCAATTTCTACCAAGATCAAATGATATGAGCTGTTATCAACATTTTCATTCAAACTCCATACAATGTGCTTACTGTATGTCAACAGTTGACTCATTTGTGTCTGTTTTTATTGAAGTTGAAGTTGAAGCATAAACTCAATGATTGTGTTGTTAACATTAGCGCACACTCATGATCCTAAAGGCATTTTAGGACAAAGAGAAAATTGTGAACAGACAACTCTGTAGTGCTGCCCTACTAAGTACCTTCAAATCTTCTTCTTGTTCGATTTTCCCCTTCGAGTAGTTGGGAAAAAAGTCCACTGACAGATCATTTCCTGTGACATAATTCAATTTCACCTCTTTGCCTAACACAGCGTAATGCCTGGTCATAAATCAAAACGATCATTTTCACACAACAGGATGGAGAAGTTAGGAATTACAAAATAGTTGCTGAGAGAATGCTTTAAATGCCACGTGTGACTGACATCGTATTTGGTTCATTCAGGTCGTGTTTGAACACACATGCACATCTGAATCAGCCGCAAAGCTGGACACTATCAAGTGCACACGTGAGCAATGTGTAGTTATGATTCTCAGTGCTCTCTTTATATTGTACCTATCAATAAAAGATGCAAAAAAAGCTAAAAATAAACTCAATTCTTTTGAGTCAGTAGCACAAATGGTGTAGCATGCAGCATAACAATGATATAGAGTCTAGATGTAATAGTAATACGATTGTGGCAGCATTCATAACTGAATAGTCAATGCCTTTTAAATGCCATTTCAGTTCCTAAATTTGAATTTAATTTGAACTGAAGTAGGGGTGTGCAATATCACAATTTTTGATCGCCGACGATTAAAATTTCTCCACGATCTGCTTTTGAAGAAATATCATAGTATCGTGCTACAGCGCACATTCTATCAGCTGTAGTTCTGGTGTCTCCGTCTCAATATACTGTATGACACCACATACATTCACATCAAATGTTGACTCAGCGGTGGAGTTCCACTCACAGGACACTGCACTTATTCACAATCACAAAAGTACATTATTTGCATGTACTTTAAAGCCTTGCCGGGTAAACATTTAATCCGCATGCTGTTCTGACATGCGCTTTTTCTGAGCATGTACACCTGAAGCGCGCACACACTAAAGCGCTCGTCAAACAGCGCCTGATTACTGGACTAAGTTATCTTTCATGTCTGATTGTGCTAATACTGTCAAAAACACACAAGAGGTACATCTAAACACAGTTGGTTATATCTAAAGTGACAGTAAACGGATGCATGGCTGTATATTAGATGGGGGCAGGTCTTAAAGCGACAGCAGACTATAGTACTAAACATGCTGCCGATTGTCATTAAAGGGATAGTTCACCCAAAAATGAAAATTCTCTCATTATTTACGCACTCTCATGTCGTCCTAAACCTGTATTAATTTCTTTCTTGCGCTGAACACAAAAGACCAGTAACTGTTTGGTTATCCACATTCTTCAAAATAACTTTTATATTCAACAGAAGAAAGAAACTCATACCGCTTTAAAACATCTTGAGAGTGAGCAAATGATGACAGAATTTTCATTTTTGGGTGAACTGTCCCTTTAATGTTAATACAACAAAACACTAAAAGAAAAATCACTCACTGCTCTTGACTGAAGAACTTAAATACAGTTGCTTTAATAAGAATCAATGTATAATTTATACAGTGAAGTGTATAGTGTTTTATTTTTATATTTGTTCATTCAATTTCTTGAATGTTACTGCTAAATACACCTACTGTACCTGAAAAATAAAGCACTTTTGGTTTTATTTGTATATTATGTGTATTTGTAATGTGTATCTTTGTTCTTATTTTTTAATAACAAAGATAAAATAATCAAGATTTTTATCTTCACCCATTCTTTTTTATTTTATATTTTGTTACCTTGAAGGCTTTGTTTTTAAAATAGGGAAATTATTTTGGCTGTACCGCTCAGAAAACCTGCAAAATAGTAAAACTAACATGACAAAGAATTGTGATAAAATCGTGAATCATGATTTTCCTGGAAAAAAAAATTGTGATATGATATGATTTGCCATATCGCCCACCCCTAAACTGAAGCAGCAAATGTGA